ATAATACCTACAATATTCTGTCACTAATATCATGTGATGGTCTCTAGGAAATAAGGTCTTTTATGTTACATATACTTTATAGAAATGATGGATCTTAGAAAAAGGAACACAATTACATTATCCTATTAATCCTTATGACTTAAAGTAAGATATATAAAATTTTCTCTATAGTAAACTGAAATGTTTTCTTCAGGTTCTCTGTATAACCAAAAGCAGATCATCCTACTGTATCATGATTTGTTATGTCTCTCTGTCCAACTAGAATGACTAGAAAGTAATAGTATGGGTGAAGGGGATATTAACTCAAGGCTGAAAAAGAAAGGTTCATGGCCTTTATAAGTTATGAAATGAATGATTTAAAAAAATTATGAAGGCAAGTTATCCAAACTAGTATACAAATAACTCAAAATCTTCTCACAATCTGCCTACCAACATTATCATTTGTATCCAACATACACCCAATATTCCAGACATTCTGGTTTTCTAATTCATCTTGAAACACATGATGATTATCCCTAGTTATCTACCATCATTAAAAAGAACTACAACCATTTAACATAATTTTTCAAAGAACTCTGACAAAAATCATTTTATTTGACCCAAAAAACAATCCTACATAACAAAATAAACAAGGGTCACTGCATTTCCTCATTCACAGGTGAGGAAACTGAGTTCAGAGAGAGTAAATGACTCAGCCATGAAAATTTGGCTAGTAATGGCCAAAATGGAAGCTAAAAGGTAGGTTCTGAGTCCAGCATTCTCCAATCTTGTAAGGTTATGGCTTCTTCCCTTATATAATCTAACCTAATTTTACCTCTCCTTCAAGATCCTTCTGTTCCATTTTACAGTATTGCCCATCCCCACCCCATCACCAAAAATTCCTCCCTCCTCTGAAGTCCTGTTAATCTCAATGGTCATTAATCTTGGTGCTCATTGACAGTGTACCTTGCGATGCTACGTAATACTCTATATGTAGTATATTTCCTGACCACTTAACTATACCACTAGCTTCTTGAGGTTTCTATGTGTTTCCTGTATTGTTTGTATCCCCCTGGTGTACCAATGATCTCTTTTGTTTTTCCTTTGTTTGGGCCTACCTGATACCCCTTCACCTGCCCTTAATCTTTGGTGTCCCTATCTTTGGTTAACAGCATTCTTTAGGACATGACCCATCTTCCATCACAGATAGTCTTGGTGTAGTGTTCTCAATCAAGGTTCTTTGCCTTCCCTTGGACAAGGAGTATTCTTTTTTTTTTTTTTTTTTTTTCTTAAAGATTTATTTATTTTTGAGAGAGCGAGAATGAGAGAGAGAGAGAGTACATGAGAGGGGGGAGGGTCAGAGGGAGAAGCAGGCTCCTCGCTGAGCAGGGAGCCCGATGCGGGACTCGATCCCAGGACTCCGGGATCATGACCTGAGCCGAAGGCAGTCGCTTAACCAACTGAGCCACCCAGGCGCCCGACAAGGAGTATTCTTGTAATCCACACTAGGTCAATCAGTCTCTCTTTCTAATAAGAATTTGAATCAAATTCAGGGAAAGGAGTAGGAAAATTGTTGGAGCTAATACACACAAAGACAATTTCCTGAAAAGACTTTCCATTTGTTCTTGCTCCCTGTTTTCTCAAAGCTGCTGCCGTTGTTGCTTTTTTTAATTAATTAATTATTTATTAAATGATTATATTTGTCAGAGAGAGAGAGCACTCACAAGCAGGGGGACCAAGCAGGGGAACCAGCAGGCAGAGGGAGAAGCAGACTCCCGGCTGGGCAAGGAACCTGATGAGGAACTCAATCCCAGGACCCTGGGATCATGACCTGAGCCGAAGGCATACCCTCAACCCACTGAGCCACCCAGGCGTCCCAGTTGCTGCTTTTTTAAAGGCTAAATTATTCAGCCTTTCTTCAGTTTCTGGTTGAGCTATCTCATATCTTCCTGATAAATTCTGTATTCCTTTTGTTTGTTTTTTTTTTTTGTTTAAGTCAGGCAGAATCACTTCCCCTTGTTTGCAAAGATCCTTATCTGATATACCCACAAAGCTTAGTGCCTAGGGAGTGTTAAGGATTTTCAAATGTTTTGTTCTTATGCAGATTATATGTTATTGTATATAACTGAAAACATAAATAAATGACCCTGAAGTGCACCCCTGCTATTGGTTAGAATTTTAATAACCAACAGGCAAGCAGGGGCAAAGCTAACATCAGGAATTCATCTGCATGGAAATGACTTGTATTACAGTTCAGAAACCTGGTTTGGGGACTCACAAAGTGATAATTCACAGCTGCAAATTAACAAAGCATTTTGTGGTAAGGGTAGTACTTATAGTAATGATACCATTTAGTTATATTTGACATTTAGGTTAACCCATCTGTTTTCCTTTTCTTCCCAAATATTATAGGAGCCAACTGTGATCATCTGAATTTTTAATATTATTTTACTGCAAGATATATCTGATAAGTTTAACTGCTTATACCATGGCTCCTTTTTTTTTTTTTTTTAAAGATTTTATTTTTATTTGACAGAGAGAGAGGGAACACAAGCAGGGGGAGTGGGAGAGGGAGAAGCAGGCTCCCCGCAGAGCAGGGAGCCCAATGTGGGGCTCCATCCCAGGACCCTGGGATCATGATCTGAGCCGAAGGCAGTTGCTTAACCACCTGAGCCACCCAGGCGCCCCACCATGGCTCCTTTTTAAAAAAGTACATGAATATTTTAACATACTGTAGCTTCTTGTGAAGAGCAGATTATAGTTTTAAATTCACTGAGAAAGGAAATTATCATTAGAATAATTTAGGTGGGAAAATGTTACCATTTTTCGAAGCATAATCAGTGTTCTACAAAGGCAGTTCTCTCTGCTATTCTTTAAGGAAATCAAATTAAGAAAAATCAACCAAGTAATTTATAATATAACTGGAATTTAACAGCAATTCTAGCTAATTATACATCAGTAGTTAATTCACTTTTGAACAGATTACAAACCTAAGCTAACTATTTCTATGTACTTCATAAATTTCTGTCATTTTAGACATTTACATCCACTTAGAATCCTTTGTATTCCAGGAACATCCTCTTAATCCTAGACATTAGGGGAATATCATGCATATATATGATATTTCTCTTTCTTAATGACAAGTATTTCCCTGAAGATAAAAATCCTACTGATAAGTGGTGGTGGGGGGGAAGGGGGCATTTTAAAACATTTGCTTCTTCTCTTTTACAACATCTATTACTACATGATAGCATTTCCCACAAGATTATTTTTATTTCATTTGAAGTTGGCAAAAATCTTTGGGCTGAATCCTTTGAGCATACCTCTAGTGATAGATGTCAGATCAGTGTTGTATGGAAGAACTTTTATTTGACAGGTAGATGACAGGAAGAAGCTTCTCTCCAGAATGTAACTGTTAAATCCTTCTGTGAGATTAATATCATCTTTTGTTTCTGTGTATAAATGCCTTATTCATATTTGCTATAAAAAATCAGTTCATGTAATTACTTGGAATAGTGTGAAATTAAGATACTTAGAATGGGTACATATTTATTCAAATTAGATAGTGTTTTAACTGTCTTTTTTATATGAATCAAATGTGAAATAGGTGTACAATATAAATTTTCAATGATCTTTTAACTTATACTATTTTTATAATCATCTACCAAAAATATCTTGATTTACTCACTGTGCATATAGCATATACTCAAAACAAATAGCATCTTCAGAAGAGATTACTTTATTAGTACTGAATATATGGTATGCAATACAATGAAAATATATTGAATATTTAGATTTATCCTATAAATCTGGTTACGATTTATTCCACTTTATTACAAGCATTGCCTTATTCTCTCGGGCATTATCAAATAATTTCACATGTCCCCTAATATCACGAGAAGAGGGAGTAACATTTTTTTTTTTTATAAAATCTAGCATTCCAGAGGATCTTCCCTATCTTCCTGGTCCTCTTTCCTTATACACCTCAAAAATGAATAAGGAGTACCAGATATAATTCCATTATACATCCTATTACCTACAAAGGTTATTCTCTATTTGGGTTAGAACTACTTGAAGCAAATCACTTTCGGTACATATTAAAATGCTAGTGCATGTATATGTAACGTACATCTATTTAATGCATGAATAGAAATTTATATCCATTCCTATGTTTGGGATTCTTTTTATAATATACTTTAAGAACTAACTGAAGTTTCTCAATGTTTTAAGCTGTGAGAAGAAAAAAAGTGAAAGAATGGTGAGATGTCAAAGAGGGATTGCTTGTTTTCAGATTTATTTTCCTCTTTAGCTTTCTTATAGGCCTTGACCTCAGTGTCTGTTCAGTTTTCTGTTTATAACAGACAGATCTTTCCCTTGAATAAGGTGGTTCATTATAGCCTAGAAATGGCCGTATATGATCACTTTTGTGCTTCTCTGTTTCTTCTCACGAGAATTGAAATCTCAAAAAAAAAATACTATGAAATGGCTTGATCAAAACAAGATGATTGTCACTTGAGTTTTTATCAACTTTTAGTTAATAGACTAGATATCTAGTATAAGCTTAGTAACAACAGGATTTAACAACAAAGACTATTGATTGTTTAGACTAGAATAAGCAAAGCATATTCAAAAAGAGGTTTCTGGCTATTTACCTCATTACATTTAGCTCCTCACATAGTTTTTAGAGAGACATTAAATAAGTACAAGGGAATTGAAATACAATATGGCATCTACTTTATAAAAGGAGATTTTTTTTAAATTTACAAACTCCAGTAAGATCTGATCAGAGGAGTTTAGTACTATACTACCACAGAATTTGCATTGTCTTTGAGATTTTACTGCACTAAAATTAAAAATATATATATTTATCTGTTTTAATTGAGACTTAATTCACTTACCACAACATTCACCCTTTTAAAGCATACTTTTTTTTTTTGCTTATGTACTATTGCCAATTTAGAGTGATCTCTCTCACAGATGAGATTATTATTGTAAATTTGCATTATAAAATGTTATCTTACCTTACAAAGGAAGTTGATTTTAAAACCCAAAGACTGGGCATTTCTTGAGCCTGAGTTCATGTAGTTTCCAACCAAAAGAACTAATTCTAAAAGTCTGTTAAAGCTTTCACTTTTCTTCAGTTCTTCACAAGCAAGCGTTACTGCTATGATGCTTGGTTTGATGTTGTTTACATGTTCTTCAAACGTGAGCTTGAAAAGAATGTTTTCGAGACGAGGCTGTAACATTTTCACTGAGCTCATCTGTAAGATAAGAAATGCTCTGTAAGAACGTATATATAAAGCCTGTTGTTTCATTTTCCAGTAGGCATAATTTTATACACAGGACTAAAATTTCTGCATAAAATGAATTCTTTCTGGGTTTAAGAATTATTGTTTTGGTTTTAGACATTCCAAAGGAATATTTTTATCAAAGTTTAATAATAGTTAGCTGTTCAGTTTTAAACAAATCATCCTTATAACAGTAAGAAAATATTATTGAAGCTAAATAGTTGCTATTTTTTAACTGCATAATCATTAGTCATCAGTAGCATTTAAACTACCAATTGTCCCTGAGGTGAACTATGAAAATTTACAAACATGAAATTGAGTTGAGTGAATAGTTTGGCCACAGATAAAAGATGTACATGATGACAGGAAATGTAAGTGGAACCACATTTCCTAAGAAATTACTATTATTATGCTATTTGAAATCAGAGGACTAGCTCTAATTGAACATTTAATAATTTTTAAACCTATGATTTCTATTCATCATATATATTAAATATTTACATATGCTCTAAAGAATTTCCCCTACTTGACAGAATGTTGATGTTAAATAATTAGGTTATAGTAAAATCCATGAGCTTACTTTTAAGTGCAGTATTCAAGAATTCTATATTGGTTTTCTGTAAAACAGTTCAACTTAGGTTTTTATTACTTGTTTCAAAGGATTGGTGCACATTCTCTGTTCCCTTTGGTATAGCTCCTATGGTAATAAATTCTTTTAGCCATTAATTTCCTATAACTCCAAGTCATTTAACTAGCTTTCATTCACCAAATGAATTCTGAGACAGAGGTGGGGGTGGGATTAGACACATATGAACATACGCAAGCACACACAAATGAAAATATATTTTTTTTCCTTTAGTAGGCTCCACACTGTGTGCGGAGCCCAATTTGGGGCTTGAACCCATGACCCTGAGATAAAAACCTGAGCTGAGATCAAGAGTCGGACACTTACCCAACTGAGCCACTCAGGCACCCCAAAAGAAATTAATAGTCCTAATTATATATTTTTTTGTACTTATAGCTTAGTTTCTTGAATATAAACATGAAAAGAATTTGACAACATAAACAAAAGTCCTTAAGCCACAAAGTGCTCTTCAAAAGAAGCAAATGAGCTAGCCCAGTGATGGGTATTAAGAAGGGCATGTATTGCATGGTGCACTGGGTGTTATACGCAAACAATGAATCATGGAACACTACACCAAAAACTAATGATGAACTGTATGGTGGCTAACATAACATAATAAAAAAAAAAGAAGCAAATGAGCTGTTGAATACATCATATCTGCTCTAATATGGAAGGAAGGCAAAAGTTCATAATTTTTCTTCTTTGAAATGAACTTGCCCATTAACATTGGGTGTCTGCCTCTCTAAAGATTAACCTTTGCCTTCTGCTAATCCCTCTATATGCTCTTATGCTCTTTATAGGCGATGTACAAAAGTATGCTGGGAATATTGACCTGTTACTATATTTATGTAGATCTTATTACTACTTCTCAATAGCTTTTTTTTTTTTTATATGATCGGGGTAATATTATACAAACCATCCTACAGTTTCTTCATCACTCCCATGGTAAGTATAAGACATACCACCAAATCACAAGTTTCCAATATGGCCTAAAACTCATAACACAGTCACTTGAAAACTATAGCTACTGATAAAACTAGCATATGATTCTAGATGGGTAAACAGAAATTAAGTGCTAGAGATGTGTGCTGAAGGAAAACTTTAAACTCCTGTTTTAAAGATTTTATTTATTTGAGAGAGAGAGGGCATACGAGCAAGCGGGGGGGGCGGGGAGCGCACAGCAGAGGGAGAACAAGAAAGAGAATGTCAAGCAGACTCCACTCTGAGTGCAGAGCCTGACATGGGACTTGGTCTCACAGCCCCAAGATCATGACCTGAACTGAAACCAAGAGTTGAACACTTAACCGAATGAGCCACCCAGGTGCCCCAAAACTTTAAACTCTTATGACTACAATGTTTAATGAAGACTTCACAATAGAGGTAATATGAATGGACAGAAAAACAAATGAGAGAGAGAGATTGAGACAGAGAGGGAACAAACAGGAGCCAAAAGGAAGGTGTAGAAAGAATACAGTATGAGAAAAGTTTTATAGTTAGGAATACACAAGGTATATCCCTAGGGGCAAAATTTGGACTGAAGTACCCAAAGAGTCCATGTAAAGGTCATGAAATTGGAAGCTAACCATATAAAATTCTTTATCTCCATGAATGCAGAAATCTCTTTGTATATGTTTGCATGGGAATCTAAGTTTCTATATGTTTTTCTGCCTTTCTTTATGCCTCTACCACTCTCTCCAAATCCCTCCCCACTTTATTTTTCCTTTGTTTTCATTGGTAACTGGCATCATTTGCACATACACATGTTTCTATCATTTTACGTGTGGAAGGGATAGTTTTTCAATCTCTCTGATGGTTAAAAAAAAGCCCTAGAGCTACTCTGACCAAGTGCTAGTCATGATGTACGTGACTGCCCTTCTGGTCATGCTTTGTAGGGCTTGCAGGTTCACCAGGGTGGCCTTAGTCCCAGATGAACAAGTAATTTAAACCCTTCTGCTTACATGGATTTTTAGTCTCACTTCAAGTCTAATACTACTTGTCTTCATTCATATTTTTACCCTTTCCGGGGTTTGTATTTCAATCTTTGGCCTACAGATCCAGACAGAATGGATTTAACCTCTTTTTTTAATACCACCTCTGACTGAAATAATGTGACCAAAAGTGTAATTGCATAATAATAGTAAAATAACAATGATTAACGTTTATTAAGTTCTTTGTGCCAAACATTTTTCTGCATATATATTACAAATATGTTTTAACTGATTTGAGTCTCAAAACAATCCTAGGAGAAGGTTATTAGCATTAGTCTCATTCTTTTTTTTTTTCTTTTTATTTTTTTATTCTTATGTTAATCCCCATACATTACATCATTAGTTTTAGATGTAGTGTTCCATGATTCATTGTTTATGCATAACACCCAGTGCTCCATGCAGAATGTGCCCTCCTCAATACCCACCACCCACCAGGCTAACCCATCCTCCCAACCCCCTCCCCTCTAGAACCCTCAGTTTGTTTTTCAGAGTCCATCGTCTCTCGTGGTTCGTCTACCCCTCCGATTTCCCCCGCTTCATTCTTCCCCTCCTGCTACCTTCTTCTTCTTTTTTTTTTCTTAACATATATTGCATTATTTGTTTCAGAGGTACAGATCTGAGATTCAACAGTCTTACACAATTCACAGCGCTCACCATAGCACATACCCTCCCCAATGTCTCTCACCCAGCCACCCCATCCCTCCCACCCCACCCCCACTCCAGCAACCCTCAGTTTGTTTCCTGCAATTAAGAATTCCTCATATCAGTGAGATCATATGATACATGTCTTTCTCTGTTTGACTTAAGATTAGGAAAGTGAGGCACAGACATACTAAGTGATTTATGCAAAATCAAGTTGTATGTTAAAGACCTAGAGATTTGAACTCAGGCATTCAGGTCACATAACCCAGACTCTCAACCACTACACCACAATGGCTCTTGAATTCATATTGGGAGCAGTATGTATGGTTGGTTGAAGGAGAGATTAGTGGCAGGGAGAGTATTACTAAGTCTTCAAAATGACCTAAAAAACAGGTAATGAACTAGGATGTTGTTGGTAGGAAGGGGTAAGAAGCAATGGATATGAGAGACAGAATTAAGGAAGAATCAATGGGATTTAGCATTAGTTATGAGAGAAGATAGTCAAAGATGACTCCAAGGTTTTAAGTCTGTTGTGAGGTAGAATACTGTTGGCATTAATGAAGGCAGAAAGAGGTGCTGGTTTGCTGTGGTATACTACTTGGATTGTTGCTTTGTTTCGGATGAATTTGTTTACCCTGATCTTCTGCTGCCTATACTATAGCAAGCTAATCAGAAACTAAGACAGTGTAAGTGCAGGTAAGGTGCAGCTTAGTAGCAAATTCAATTAAAGACTGAATCTAGAAACTTTCACATTGTCTCACTGTGAGAAACTAACCTACCTAATTTCTCCTGTCTTCAGTTTCCTCATCTACAAGGTAGGGGAAATTCCTGTGATCAGTCTTGTTTTGATTAATTAGATAGGAGCCAAATAATGATCCATAAACATTACCTCCTTCTTTTTTAATCTCTGCTTCTAGAATTCGGAAAAGGTGGGGTAAAGGGTGCTTGATCTACAAATAAAAATATTACTTGTTACAAAAAAAAAATTGACTTTTAAGTGAACTTGGTTTACCATCCTCTCAGACATCAACAGTATACTTTAGACACTACTAGCTTTCCACTATTAAGGCTCCAAATCTTGGGATCATATTCAAATTGTGGTAAACACAATGTAATTTAATACAATTCCTTGCCTATATTTTGACTTGAAGAATTTCTTAGAATTGTCTCTTATTTTCCATGCTCAACATTCAAGCATAAGTTTTATGTACCTCAAGGTTGATTTAGTAAAATTGACTATTTAAATGTGCTCTCTGGGGCACCTGGGTGGCTCAGTCCGTTAAGCATCTGCCTTCAGCTCAGGTCATTATCTCAGGGTCCTGGGATCGAGCCCCGCGTAGGGCTCCCTGCTCCACAGGGAGTCTACTTCTCCCTCTGCCCCTCCCCGGGCTCATGCTCTCTCTCTAATAAATAAGTAAAAATTTTTTTAAAAATAAATGTGCTCTCTGATCCCTCCAGCCTTTCCCCCTCCAAATCTTCACATAAATAGTAAAATGACACCTCTGTGATAGGAAAATATTGCTTTCTTGACATTTTTAGTTTTAGGTATTATATCTGGTAGCAACTGGAAATTCAGTCCTTAAGTTAAGGAGGAGATAAGTATTAGAGTTGGCAGATTTGGGAAGTTATCCAAATAGATGCTGTGGGAGGTAAGGTTGTTGATGAGGAGAGTACATAGGGAGAAGAGTCAGGGACTGCACCTTGTATAGCACCTAGCA